TGCTAGCATCACACAAGTGAACGACTGAGACGTCTCAAAACTGGTCCAGTGGTCGGTTGCTAGCATCACACAAGTGAACGACTGAGACGTCTCAAAAGTCTTTTGAGACGTCTCAAAACTGGTCCAGTGGTCGGTTGCTAGCATCACACAAGTGAACGACTGAGACGTCTCAAAAGTCTTTTGAGACGTCTCAAAACTGGTCCAGTGGTCGGTTGCTAGCATCACACAAGTGAACGACTGAGACGTCTCAAAAGTCTTTTGAGACGTCTCAAAACTGGTCCAGTGGTCGGTTGCTAGCATCACACAAGTGAACGACTGAGACGTCTCAAAAGTCTTTTGAGACGTCTCAAAACTGGTCCAGTGGTCGGTTGCTAGCATCACACAAGTGAACGACTGAGACGTCTCAAAAGTCTTTTGAGACGTCTCAAAACTGGTCCAGTGGTCGGTTGCTAGCATCACACAAGTGAACGACTGAGACGTCTCAAAAGTCTTTTGAGACGTCTCAAAACTGGTCCAGTGGTCGGTTGCTAGCATCACACAAGTGAACGACTGAGACGTCTCAAAAGTCTTTTGAGACGTCTCAAAACTGGTCCAGAGGTCGGTTGCTAGCATCACACAAGTGAACGACTGAGACGTCTCAAAAGTCTTTTGAGACGTCTCAAAACTGGTCCAGTGGTCGGTTGCTAGCATCACACAAGTGAACGACTGAGACGTCTCAAAAGTCTTTTGAGACGTCTCAAAACTGGTCCAGGGGTCGGTTGCTAGCATCACACAAGTGAACGACTGAGACGTCTCAAAAGTCTTTTGAGACGTCTCAAAACTGGTCCAGTGGTCGGTTGCTAGCATCACACAAGTGAACGACTGAGACGTCTCAAAAGTCTTTTGAGACGTCTCAAAACTGGTCCAGTGGTCGGTTGCTAGCATCACACAAGTGAACGACTGAGACGTCTCAAAAGTCTTTTGAGACGTCTCAAAACTGGTCCAGTGGTCGGTTGCTAGCATCACACAAGTGAACGACTGAGACGTCTCAAAAGTCTTTTGAGACGTCTCAAAACTGGTCCAGTGGTCGGTTGCTAGCATCACACAAGTGAACGACTGAGACGTCTCAAAAGTCTTTTGAGACGTCTCAAAACTGGTCCAGTGGTCGGTTGCTAGCATCACACAAGTGAACGACTGAGACGTCTCAAAAGTCTTTTGAGACGTCTCAAAACTGGTCCAGTGGTCGGTTGCTAGCATCACACAAGTGAACGACTGAGACGTCTCAAAAGTCTTTTGAGACGTCTCAAAACTGGTCCAGTGGTCGGTTGCTAGCATCACACAAGTGAACGACTGAGACGTCTCAAAAGTCTTTTGAGACGTCTCAAAACTGGTCCAGTGGTCGGTTGCTAGCATCACACAAGTGAACGACTGAGACGTCTCAAAAGTCTTTTGAGACGTCTCAAAACTGGTCCAGTGGTCGGTTGCTAGCATCACACAAGTGAACGACTGAGACGTCTCAAAAGTCTTTTGAGACGTCTCAAAACTGGTCCAGAGGTCGGTTGCTAGCATCACACAAGTGAACGACTGAGACGTCTCAAAAGTCTTTTGAGACGTCTCAAAACTGGTCCAGTGGTCGGTTGCTAGCATCACACAAGTGAACGACTGAGACGTCTCAAAAGTCTTTTGAGACGTCTCAAAACTGGTCCAGGGGTCGGTTGCTAGCATCACACAAGTGAACGACTGAGACGTCTCAAAAGTCTTTTGAGACGTCTCAAAACTGGTCCAGTGGTCGGTTGCTAGCATCACACAAGTGAACGACTGAGACGTCTCAAAAGTCTTTTGAGACGTCTCAAAACTGGTCCAGTGGTCGGTTGCTAGCATCACACAAGTGAACGACTGAGACGTCTCAAAAGTCTTTTGAGACGTCTCAAAACTGGTCCAGTGGTCGGTTGCTAGCATCACACAAGTGAACGACTGAGACGTCTCAAAAGTCTTTTGAGACGTCTCAAAACTGGTCCAGTGGTCGGTTGCTAGCATCACACAAGTGAACGACTGAGACGTCTCAAAAGTCTTTTGAGACGTCTCAAAACTGGTCCAGTGGTCGGTTGCTAGCATCACACAAGTGAACGACTGAGACGTCTCAAAAGTCTTTTGAGACGTCTCAAAACTGGTCCAGTGGTCGGTTGCTAGCATCACACAAGTGAACGACTGAGACGTCTCAAAAGTCTTTTGAGACGTCTCAAAACTGGTCCAGTGGTCGGTTGCTAGCATCACACAAGTGAACGACTGAGACGTCTCAAAAGTCTTTTGAGACGTCTCAAAACTGGTCCAGTGGTCGGTTGCTAGCATCACACAAGTGAACGACTGAGACGTCTCAAAAGTCTTTTGAGACGTCTCAAAACTGGTCCAGTGGTCGGTTGCTAGCATCACACAAGTGAACGACTGAGACGTCTCAAAAGTCTTTTGAGACGTCTCAAAACTGGTCCAGTGGTCGGTTGCTAGCATCACACAAGTGAACGACTGAGACGTCTCAAAAGTCTTTTGAGACGTCTCAAAACTGGTCCAGGGGTCGGTTGCTAGCATCACACAAGTGAACGACTGAGACGTCTCAAAAGTCTTTTGAGACGTCTCAAAACTGGTCCAGTGGTCGGTTGCTAGCATCACACAAGTGAACGACTGAGACGTCTCAAAAGTCTTTTGAGACGTCTCAAAACTGGTCCAGTGGTCGGTTGCTAGCATCACACAAGTGAACGACTGAGACGTCTCAAAAGTCTTTTGAGACGTCTCAAAACTGGTCCAGTGGTCGGTTGCTAGCATCACACAAGTGAACGACTGAGACGTCTCAAAAGTCTTTTGAGACGTCTCAAAACTGGTCCAGTGGTCGGTTGCTAGCATCACACAAGTGAACGACTGAGACGTCTCAAAAGTCTTTTGAGACGTCTCAAAACTGGTCCAGTGGTCGGTTGCTAGCATCACACAAGTGAACGACTGAGACGTCTCAAAAGTCTTTTGAGACGTCTCAAAACTGGTCCAGTGGTCGGTTGCTAGCATCACACAAGTGAACGACTGAGACGTCTCAAAAGTCTTTTGAGACGTCTCAAAACTGGTCCAGTGGTCGGTTGCTAGCATCACACAAGTGAACGACTGAGACGTCTCAAAACTGGTCCAGTGGTCGGTTGCTAGCATCACACAAGTGAACGACTGAGACGTCTCAAAAGTCTTTTGAGACGTCTCAAAACTGGTCCAGGGGTCGGTTGCTAGCATCACACAAGTGAACGACTGAGACGTCTCAAAAGTCTTTTGAGACGTCTCAAAACTGGTCCAGTGGTCGGTTGCTAGCATCACACAAGTGAACGACTGAGACGTCTCAAAAGTCTTTTGAGACGTCTCAAAACTGGTCCAGTGGTCGGTTGCTAGCATCACACAAGTGAACGACTGAGACGTCTCAAAAGTCTTTTGAGACGTCTCAAAACTGGTCCAGTGGTCGGTTGCTAGCATCACACAAGTGAACGACTGAGACGTCTCAAAAGTCTTTTGAGACGTCTCAAAACTGGTCCAGTGGTCGGTTGCTAGCATCACACAAGTGAACGACTGAGACGTCTCAAAAGTCTTTTGAGACGTCTCAAAACTGGTCCAGTGGTCGGTTGCTAGCATCACACAAGTGAACGACTGAGACGTCTCAAAAGTCTTTTGAGACGTCTCAAAACTGGTCCAGTGGTCGGTTGCTAGCATCACACAAGTGAACGACTGAGACGTCTCAAAAGTCTTTTGAGACGTCTCAAAACTGGTCCAGTGGTCGGTTGCTAGCATCACACAAGTGAACGACTGAGACGTCTCAAAAGTCTTTTGAGACGTCTCAAAACTGGTCCAGTGGTCGGTTGCTAGCATCACACAAGTGAACGACTGAGACGTCTCAAAAGTCTTTTGAGACGTCTCAAAACTGGTCCAGTGGTCGGTTGCTAGCATCACACAAGTGAACGACTGAGACGTCTCAAAAGTCTTTTGAGACGTCTCAAAACTGGTCCAGTGGTCGGTTGCTAGCATCACACAAGTGAACGACTGAGACGTCTCAAAAGTCTTTTGAGACGTCTCAAAACTGGTCCAGTGGTCGGTTGCTAGCATCACACAAGTGAACGACTGAGACGTCTCAAAAGTCTTTTGAGACGTCTCAAAACTGGTCCAGTGGTCGGTTGCTAGCATCACACAAGTGAACGACTGAGACGTCTCAAAGGTCTTTTGAGACGTCTCAAAACTGGTCCAGTGGTCGGTTGCTAGCATCACACAAGTGAACGACTGAGACGTCTCAAAAGTCTTTTGAGACGTCTCAAAACTGGTCCAGTGGTCGGTTGCTAGCATCACACAAGTGAACGACTGAGACGTCTCAAAAGTCTTTTGAGACGTCTCAAAACTGGTCCAGTGGTCGGTTGCTAGCATCACACAAGTGAACGACTGAGACGTCTCAAAAGTCTTTTGAGACGTCTCAAAACTGGTCCAGTGGTCGGTTGCTAGCATCACACAAGTGAACGACTGAGACGTCTCAAAAGTCTTTTGAGACGTCTCAAAACTGGTCCAGTGGTCGGTTGCTAGCATCACACAAGTGAACGACTGAGACGTCTCAAAAGTCTTTTGAGACGTCTCAAAACTGGTCCAGTGGTCGGTTGCTAGCATCACACAAGTGAACGACTGAGACGTCTCAAAAGTCTTTTGAGACGTCTCAAAACTGGTCCAGTGGTCGGTTGCTAGCATCACACAAGTGAACGACTGAGACGTCTCAAAAGTCTTTTGAGACGTCTCAAAACTGGTCCAGTGGTCGGTTGCTAGCATCACACAAGTGAACGACTGAGACGTCTCAAAAGTCTTTTGAGACGTCTCAAAACTGGTCCAGGGGTCGGTTGCTAGCATCACACAAGTGAACGACTGAGACGTCTCAAAAGTCTTCCCCTCACTTGCCGCTCCCCTCTCTCCCCTCTCTCCCCTCTCTCCCCTCTCTCTCCCCCCCCCCCCCCCCTTGCATGGTGCAGTGGCTGGCTTTATGCAGTGGTCGGTTGCATCACACATGTAAGTGTGCTCATTTCCAAAGATAGAAGAGCGACTTTTGAGACTTTTCAAAAGGCGGCTTCTTTGCTCAAAAGTCACCTCGTCACAAGGGCTGCAGTGTGTGAAAGTTGAGACATACACCTGCAATCATGTCTACCTGCAATGGCTGGCTGTCACGAGTGGCCAACCGCATCACTAGAGTTATTTCGATTTTGAGACGTCTTAAAACTAGATCACCAGAGTTATTTCGATTTTGAGACGTCTCAAAACTAGATCACCAGAGTTATTTCGATTTTGAGACGTCTCAAAACTAGATCACCACAGTTATTTCGATTTTGAGACGTCTCAAAACTAGATCACCAGAGTTATTTCGATTTTGAGACGTCTCAAAACTAGATCACCAGAGTTATTTCGATTTTGAGACATCTCTAAACTAGATCACCAGAGTTATTTCGATTTTGAGACGTCTCTAAACTAGATCACCAGAGTTATTTCGATGAATTTTCAAATGCATCACAATTGTAAGTTTTTATCATCGAATTCTCAATTCCATCACCACACATGTATGGGCCTTCCAGCAGGGAGCTACCGTGCTTCTGAGTGGGGTAAACATATTTCCTAATAATAAAAAATAAGTATCCCTTGCTTTACTAATTCATTGGCTGTCAATATGTCCGAGGCTCTTGCTTCCTCCCAGCCAGTCGTTTCATCGTTCCTCTGGTGTTGCTCTGCCTTTTGTCCCTTATTCAAACAGACTCGTTAGCGTCATCTGGGCTATGGGGTTCATCACATGGTGCACTGTCACCCTCTGTCTGCTCTCCACTCTGTAAGTGCCACTATTGGTGTACAGGTGATTTGCTTAAGTGCTACTACTGGTGGTATGCGTAAGTGCTGCCGCTCGTGGCTTGCTTAAATGCTGCTGCTGGTATGATAATCAAAGCTGGTCCCTCTCGACTCCACTCCACCGCTCTTCACCCCTCTCCATTCCCTTCCACCGTGCTCCTTCCCTCGCTTGCAGCTTTGCGGGGGACACGAGTGTGGCCATGTGGCAGGTGTCACAGCAGGACCCAGTAGGCAACACCACCATGCAGTGCAGGCGTGGCTGCTGCGTGAAACAACACGTTTAACAGCTCTCCACCCCTCCACCCCTCTCCACCCCTCTCCACCCCTCTCCATCCCCCTCCACCCTCCTCCACCCCCTTCCATCCCTTTCCACCACTCTCACCCTCGCACACAGCTTTGCAGGGGACACGAGTGCAGCCATGTGGCAGGTGTCACAGCAGGACCCAGTAGGCAACTCCACCATGCAACAGTGGCTGCCGTGCGCCCGGGCAAGCGACGTGCGCCAGGCCATCAACACCACTGTCACCGCCATCTCGGCATCGAATGCTCTGCTCAACACGTCCATTGCGACAACCTACCCCCAGGTGAGCACATATGCTAGTCGTCTATAGGGGTGTGTGCAACAGTGGCTGCTGTGTGCCTGAGGCAAGCAACGTGCACCAGGCCATCAACACCACCGCCACTGCCATCTCTGGATTAGTTGCTCTGCAATAGTTGCTCTGCATTAATTGCTCTGCATTAATTGCTCTGCAATAATTGCTCTGCATTAATTTCTCTGCATTAATTGCTCTGCATTAATTGCTCTGCATTAGTTGCTCTGCATTAATTGCTCTGCATTAATTCTCTCCGCACCTCTCATGGGATTGGCTGCTGTTGACTGCAGTCAACGCCACTGGCATCTGCTGCAACCCCAATTCACTCGTCTCAAGAATCATCTCGTCCTCTCCCGTTCCTATTTTCCTCTGATGCAGCTGTTGACTGCAGTCAACGCCTCTGGCATCTGCAGCCTCTGTACAGTTGACTCAAGAGTCATCTCGTCCTCTCCCGTTCCTCTTCCTCTCTCGTGCAGCTGTTGACCGCACTCAACGCCACTGGCATCTGCAACCCCTATGCGGGAGGCAGCACTGAGCTCAGCTATGACGTCACCTCCTGCCCGCCCGGCACTCTGCCGCCGGCTGCATTTCTCCAGGTGATATCTGAAACGCTTCAAAGGTCTGCCTCCCTGTGCATTCTTCTAGGTGATTCTCGTTCAGGTATGGTTTGAGTCAACGCAGAAGGTCATGTGTGTTAGGTCTATTCGGGTAGCTGGTGGGGTTAGTCAGTGTGGTGTGGGTTGACTGTGTGGGGTTAGTCAGAGTGGGGTTACTCAATGAGGATATTCAAACCTTTCTTTTTGCAGCAGGTCTCCTCTCCACTCGTGCTTCCCCCCTCCTGCCTTCCCCGTCCAGGCTCCCCCCTTAACCCTTCATGCACTCAACAACACGTGCGAGGTGCATCATCCCAGCGGCACGGCACAGTCACGCTGCTGCAAGTGCCCCAAGCGGCTCTCACCCATTCCCCCCACAACCCCTCACCCATCCCCTCCCCTGCAGTCTCTCACCACGCTGCCCTGCACCATCAGCACGTGCCAGGTGCATCATCCCAACGGCACGGCACAGTCATGCTGCTGCAAGTGCCCCAAACGGCTCTCTCTCACTGACCTTGACATCGCCTCCACTGCCCTCACACACCCCGTGTCGTCTTCCGTGCCTCCCTCCTGCTTCCCCTTCCCTCCCCTGTCAGTCTCTCACTGCGTTTGCCTGCACCAACGGCACGTGCGAGGTCCATCATCCCAACGGCACGGCACAGTCACGCTGCCGCAAGTGCCCCAAGCGGCTCTCTCTGACCTTGAGACCACCTCTGTTGCGTTCACTCACCCTGCGGCCTCTGCGCCCTGCCTCCTCCCCGCCCCTCCCGTCCCCTCCCCGCCCCTTACAGTCTCTCGTCACCACACTCCCCTGCACCAACGGCACATGCCAGTTGAAATTTCCCAACGGCACAGTCATGCTGCTGCAAGTGCCCCCAGCGGCTCTCTCGGATCTTCAGACCGCCTCTGCTGCCCTCACACGCCTCGTGGACTCGGTGCCGGTGCTGCTTCAGATCGCCAACTGTACCTACGTGAAGGAGATTTGCGAGGTACAAGGGTTGAATTGGCTGTCCTTGATTGGGTTTTGTGTTGTATATGGCTTGGGTTGACTTGAGTTGACTGGCTTGGGTTGACTTGAGTTGACTTGCTTGGATTGACTTGAGTTGACTTGCTTGGGTTGACTTGAGTTGACTGGCTTGGGTTGACTTGAGTTGACTTGCTTGGGTTGACTTGAGTTGACTTGCTTGGATTGACTTGAGTTGACTTGCTTGGATTGACTTGAGTTGACTTGCTTGGATTGACTTGAGTTGACTTGCTTGGGTTGACTTGAGTTGACTTGCTTGGATGGACTTGAGTTGACTTGCTTGGATGGACTTGAGTTGACTTGCTTGGGTTGACTTGAGTTGACTTGCTTGGATGGACTTGAGTTGACTTGCTTGGGTTGACTTGGGTTTGGTTGACTGTTGGGTTGGCTTGATCCCTCCACCGTCTCCCTCCTCTGTACCTTCATCCCATCCCCCCCCTCCCAGCATGCATCAGGGATGGCGAATGACATGGAGAGGGGATTTCAACAGGCTGTGGTGGGGCTTCATCGTCATCTCAGTCGCATCCATGCCTCTTCTCTTTCCCCTCCATCCCCCCATCCCCCCTACGTCTCAGCAAGCATCAGGGATGGCGAATGACATGGAGAGGGATTTCGACACGCTGTGGTGGGGCTTCATCCCTCATCTGCTTTCCCCTCTCTCTCCTTCCCCCATATCCTTTCTCCCATCCCCTCTCCCCCTCCCAGCATGCATCAGGGATGGCAAACGACATGGAGAGGGGATTTCAACATGCTGTGGTGGGGCTTCATCTCTCCTTTCTCCCTCCTCTCTCTCCTTTCTCTACGTCTCTATCTAATTTTCCCAGCATGCATCAGGGATGGCGAATGACATGGAGAGTGGATTTCAACATGCTGTGGTGGGGCTTCATCTCTCCTCCCTCCCTCCTCTCTCTCCTTTCTCTACGTCTCTATCTAATTTTCCCAGCATGCATCAGGGATGGCAACGGACATGGAGAGGGATTTCAACATGCTGTGGTGTGGCTTCATCGTCATCTCAGTCGCATCCATGCTCCTCGCTCTCGCTCTCCCCGTCTACATCTTCCGTTCAGCCCACCCGCAAGCCGACCCATTAGTCCACTCATTGCCCCACCTGCAAACCCAACAGCTAGCCCTGCCTCTGGGCGAGTCGTCCCTCTCTTCTCCTCCCCGCACTCCTCCCCTTGATCGCCGCTCTCCGCCTTGTGATGGCCCGGCTTCTGCTGCCAGTGACTCGGCTGGTGCTGCTGCTGATGGGATGCCTCAAATGGAAGATCTGCAGCTTGGAGAGGAACGAAAGGACCAATCAACACTCGCCAGGTGTGCAGGCACTTCCCGTGTTTCCGTGTTCTTTCTCTCGTTTCTATGCTCTCTTCCAGTGTTTCAATGCTCCTTCCATTGTGTCTCTGTGATCTTTCCCTTGTCTCTGAGCTCTTTCCCTTGTTGCCCTGTGACCTTTTTCCTGTGCTTTCTCTTCTTTCTGTGCTCTTCCTTCCCTGTGTTCTTTCTCTCCATCAGTGCTCTCTTTTTCTTTGTTCTGTGCTCTCTAATTTCCTTCTGTGCTCTTTCTTTTCATCCCCTGTTCGTTTCTCGTTTCGCATATTTCCACTCCTGCCTTAGCAAGTGCTGCTGTTCCATTTGCTCACCCAACCACCATCTCATTTCCCCTTCCAGGGGCAATTCACCTGGTCTTTCTCCCTTAACATTCACATCCGTATCCTCTTCAGGGAGTGACTCTCTTCCGTACACCACATCATTGTCCTCATTCACAAGGCTCAGCTAATTGGCTTGATTATATTTGCCTCTCCTGGAATGGAATGAATAATAAGAGGGGTCCATAAGTGAGTGGCGTGATATTACCGATATGATACCAATTCACAAAAAATGGGGTGTCCAGTCCAGCCCACTCCCACACTTAGTTGGCCTTTTAGGGGTTAATGCTTTAGAATTGTATGTTCTCAAAGTGATGTAGAACAAAGGCGGAAATTAGATTTTACATCACATCCCATGAATCAAACAGTCTTGTCGAACAACTCTCTAAACGGGCAAGTTGAAATCGAGGTTGCCAGCTCATCTCCCTTCGTTGAAGTTCCCGACGTGACGCATGCAAGCAAGCCACCGCCGTGAATTGCGGGTGGCACTGACACCACCACTCTCCTACCTCTTTCATAGTCAGCACCTACGCTTTCTGCTGCCCATTGATTCCTTCTTCATGCAGTTACCAGCCACTTTTCGTTTCTGGTGACGTTATCTTTTCGACAGGAGGAATTCAGCAATACGTCTTGAAGCTTTGCGGAGCGAGGTGACTCGATTCTTCCTGGCTTTTCCGTCCAGTGCTGCCGCCATCTCGACAACTTAGCTATTCTCTCCATTCTTTCGGCGTTCATCAATCCTCAGCAATGTCGTCAGCAACAGAGGCTCCCGCGGATGTCCAGCCTCCTCGCAACCTGTCCGCAAAACCAGAATTGGGACCCCTATCGTCCAAGATTCTTCCTCACTTATTCAAACTGTGAGGATGGAGAACTGCTTTTCCTTTCCCTACTCTCCTCTCAAAATGGACCATTCATCCTTGCTCTCGTGCACGTTGGCAGGTATGACTGCACAGCAAGAGATGGGGATTTCGAAATTTACTCTCCTGACGCGAAGTTCGACGATCCCCTTATGTCAGCTCACGGGTACGTCGTCGTTTTTTGCCCTGTAGCCTCACCACCCTCATTTTGAGAGTGATTTTCTGAAACCAGCAGCTTTGTACCGTATCTCTTTTCTGTCTGTATTCTACAATTTTAGGTTGAATCAGATCAAGTCAGCCTTTTACTCCATGCAAGTGGTGGGTCAGTTCGCCTGCCTCATTCTTGAGTTCACCTAAAAATCGGGTTATTCTTCTTTGGTGTTCTCGCACCTAGTATGAGCGCCGAGTCGTCGCCATTTGATAACCATCGATTTCATGTCGTTTACAGCTTTTCCAAGAGGGGAGAATTGTGGAGTACACTTTAGAGGAGACATCAACAGGTGATGGCTCAGGACTGGTAAGTTGATACAGGGTGTCATGCTGTGAGTTTGATTTCTTCACAAAACTGTTGGGATTGACTATATGTTTTGTGGGTTTTAATGCAAATGGCAGGTGGTCATGGACAATAAGCAGAATTACAAGGTCTGGGGCAGACCTTTTGATGTTGATTCGAGAATTCAACTCAAGGTACGGAACCAAAACAACTCTCATTGTCATGCTATTGTCAGCAGAGGTCCTGAATGGGTGTCCGCTTATGCTGAAAACGTGCCTTCATTCTCCCTGTATGCAGGTTGAAGGAGGGAAGGTGGTTCACCACGAAGATTTGTGAGCTCTTGTTCATTGTATTTATGCATTTTTTTTTTATCAATGTGGAGATCTTGGCAATGGTAAGGTACCATATATCTTGCTTTGTGTCTGGTGGTGAACATTGTGCATGTTCTAATTTTGCGTGCAGGTGGAACAAGAAGCCGTTATGGTCGGATCCTTCCAATGGCTTTATGGGATGGCTGGGCTATTCTTGGAGACGAAGTGCGATGATTACAACAGATGTGCTTATGGGTAGGGGTAAGGAACCAAAAGGTAGGGCATAATTGATAAGGTAGATGTGATGTACAGTAGTAGTTGCAGAGTTGCCTGAACAGTAGGCAAACAGTGTCAGCAGATTCTTCTCACATTTCTTAAGATGGTGAAGCCTGCTGCGCGGTGATCTGGTCAGCCGAATCGTTTTTCACAATTAAACTGAATCGCGTCTATCATTTACTCTAAAAACAGCACTAGCTAGCTAGCATGACTACGCACAGAATTACCATCTACCTAGCTGTTTATGAAGCATCCGTCCTGGGGACATTTCCTGGTAAGGTAGGGCACAATTGATAAGGTAGATGTGATGTGAGTAGTAGTTGCAGAGTTGCCTGAACAGTAGGCAAACAGTGTCAGCAGATTCTTCTCACATTTCTTAACATGGTGAAGCCTGCTGTGTGGTGATGTGGTCAGCCAAATCGTTTTTCACAATTAAACCGAAACGCGTCTATCATTTACTCTAAAAACAGCACTAGCTAGCTAGCATGACTACGCACAGAATTACCATCGACCTAGCTGATTCTGAAGCATCCGTCCTGGGGACATTTCCTGGTAAGGGGGGAAGATGCCCACCATCACTACAGATTACAAGTCAACCAAATATCACCACAGACTGAGTATGCAGGCGAGGCGGAGGAAGTGCAGTTGCTCATGCACATGAACCAGCTGCTGGTTGCTGTGGATAACCACCAGGCGGAGGAGGGGGGTAACCCCCTGGGGGCGGAGGAGGGTAACCCCCTGGTGGGGGAGGGGGGTAGCCCCCTGGAGGGGGAGGAGGATAACCACCAGGAGGGGGAGGAGGGTACGGGTAACCACCAGGCGGCGCTCCTGTAACAGGGTAACCAGGCACTGGTTCTGGTCCGCCTCCTGATTGCTGGTATTGCTGCCCCTGCTGCGATGCCCAGGCGGCCATTTCCTGCTCTTGTTGCATGCGGCGCTTTCTCATGGCGTTGTACACGCATGCACCGATGCCGCAAGAAAACACGAGGATGACAAGGGTGACTATAAGGGAACCCCACCACGTCCACCGCCACCCACAGCCATAGTAGCAGCCGCTGTAAGCTGCGGAAGAGAGGAAGAGGGATACAAAGGGAACGGAAGAAAAGGGATGGGATGGGAACACGGGAACAGTTGAGCAAAACGATGGCGAGTATCGGTAGGAGTAAACCACACTATACTATGGTGTAGAAGAAAGGAGATGAAAAAACAAAAAAAGGATTCCTGTCTGGCGAACTTAATTTGCCGTATAAAGACGTCTAAGTGAGAAAAAATGGAGAGGCAGCAGCAACTGGGAAATGCTATGCCGTCTCACGCTTGCGGGATATCAGACCGAACAGATGCAATGTAACCTGAAATGACATGATTATGATCTGCAAGGGAAAGGGCCTGTGCGCATATCCTGAAATTCGAGGTGAAGGAGCACCTGAATAGTAGGTTGTGCAGCCTGAAGGAGTCGTAGCGATGCAATCCTGAAAAGAAAAGAAAGAAGAAGAAGAAAAAAGAAGAAGAAGAAAAAAAAAAAGGACAACGAGACAACAACGGTTACAAGAGGCAGGTGAAGAACAAAGTGAGCTCGAAACGGCGAAACGGCAAGACCTAGACGTAAAAGTTGAAATTCTGCACTGGAATAGTTCGAATGGGCTGGTCATAGTATGTGCCAGTTTGCAGGGTAAAGCTAGCGACCCCAGAGATTCCACGTGTCTGATTGCCGGTTGTATAAATGGCATACAGTGCTCTTCTTCGACGGTTCATTTCATACCTGGCAAGCGTTGTAGCAAGCGGAGCCATAGCCAGCGCACTCGTATTGGCAGTTGCTGCTGCCGCCAGCTACCAACGGGATGAAAGCCGCTAAGCACAAGATGGACAGCTGCGTGAACGAAACTTGGATCACCGGCAATAACATTTTGTCAAAATTAAGACTGACTGGGGAAAGGTCACTAGTCCACTCCCTAACCGTTTAACCTGTTCTCAAGATTAGACGCTGCTTCTCAACGCCAAAACGCTGAATTAATCTCTTATTGTCGACACTCTCTAGTTCAGTTAGGTGTCAGTCGCTAATCGCTAAGATTGATGTTTTCCTCGCAGAAATACTGGGGATCATCCATACCAACACTGCCTGCTCTTGTGTGTCATGTTTCAGAAGTACATTGCATTGAATACTCAGGATCAACAAGCTTATGGGAGGTCAGATGTGTGGGAAACAAACTTGGCAATTGCTCTGAAGTGATTACTCTACTCAAAACCACCCTGAAAAAAACTGAGAAGCGGGTAGAAGAACGCAGGCAGCATTTGGTCCAAGGGAAACTGAGTAGCCAGGTTTGGGTTTGGACAGACTTTCACGAATCACATTTGAACCGACAAACTGGACTCTCTTGTGGCCCAAATTGCCAACCGAAACAACCTCCATAAACCGAGGGTCTCGAAATGTTTCAGCCTTTTAGCCTGCCCGATCGGCGAGGTTCCATTGGCGTTTCGGGGTACGTTGGCGGGGGGCACCTCACGGCAGGGACGTGCCTGCGTCGAGAGTGCGCGGAATGAACACAGTCATACAGTACTGCTGTACAAACGAGGTTCTTGCTCAGGTTAGGTCTAGGTCGAAGGCTGTTCGTAAAAAAGTCAAGGTGTACATGCATGCTTACATTGGTAGCCAGGATAACATTTTTTTTTCTTCAATTATGCCAGCTATCAGTTTGGCACTCTGGACTTGAGGTGGAAATGCAGCACTATTTCATTGAATGATAGAACAAGCCCACTCAGACATCTACAACACAACAGATGCATACAAAACATTGGCAAGTGAGACACTTCCAGCCCACACCATGTAATCCATGGCCTGCCAAGCCATGCTAGCTAGGTCTGAGAGGTGCAAATAGTGGTGGAGGTGGGAAATGGGGAGAGAAGGATGGGAGTGGAGATGTCACAAACTAAATAATTTCCGCATTGCCCAGCCACTCCTCCAGCTGGTGTTGGGTGCCTTCAGGCGTGCGCTGGCAATAGAGGTTTAAAGACTTGGTGGGAAGGCTGCTTCTACTTACAGGATCCGTGACCTTACCATTTGCGTTCCCACTGCTCCCTGCCTCTATCGCTTAGCATGGCTGACGCAGATTCTTGCTCTGCTGCACCCGTTATTCGTAGGAACCGAAAAAAACTCCAACATGGCTCCTTAGACGTTTGATTGACGCTGCTGTTGACGCGAAAGCAGCGCAATCGCGTCCCAAGCAACCTGTCTGGTCGCGTACCCCCTCGCAAGCGCAATCACGGGATCTTTCTCCGCCAGAATCTCCGCCTCTGCGCCCACAGTGCGCGGAAAGGCATTGCGCTTGGGGGAGCGGAGACGGCGGAGAGTTCTCGCGGAAGGCTGCGCCTGGTACGGCCGGGGGAGAGCAAGGAAAGACGCGAGTTCCTCCCCATCCGCACGCGCAGCGGCTTGTGCTGGCGCAGCGTCGTCTATTAGGGCTTCCCCCAAAGTGTCAATCGTAAGTGAAAAGTCGTCGCTCGACGCTCCGTCGACGCCATCAACAAGCGTTGTTTCGCAGGCGGACTCGACTCCGTGACCTTCCGTTGATTCGTCCGCGGCGGATATGTCTTCTGTGATCGGCGGGAGGAGATTGGGGGGTCCGGAGTGGAGCAGCGAGAGGAGCAACCGAAGCCGCAGCTTTTCCTCTGCGAGTGCCGCGTTGGCGGCAGCCGCCTCATCTCCTCGCTGCTGTTGTTGCTGCTGCTGGGTAACAGTACCTGGTCCCTGTCGGCTCACGCACTGTTTCAGCTCCGCTATAAGCTGCTCCGGCGTGAACAATGCCTTTCCTTGCACCCTCACGTCGTCCACGATGTACGGGTTGCGTTTCAGCCGTTGATGCACGGCCCGAGCCCATCGTAGCCGTCGGGCGTCTCGGCCTTCCTTCTCGGGAAATTGCCACCCAACCACCTTCTGCCGCTCCTCTGGCTGTTTAACCGTCGAGGTTTTCTGACCTTCTGCATCCTCGTTACAGGATATATCAAGATAGGCTTGAAGAAGCGAGAGCGATGAAGTGTTGTCCTTTTTAAGAGTCTTCGAGTGCAATTCTATTTGTCGCTCGTTTCGTCGAGCGGACAACCGCGACCCGTTCTGCGACTCTTGCGGCGGTCGCACGAAAAGAAGAAAGACTAGCGCAAGCATGGCAACGGGGCAAATGGCTACAAAAAGCGCCGGCCATGGTGAGAAATCAGCGTCAGTAAGGGACATCATCCTTAAAAATCAAGAATGGCGACGGGGAAAAGTCAAGCTTGGTCGAAGCCTTGAGATTGTCGGTCGTCGTGTGAAAACTAGTGCTCCCTGGTGCGATTTGGAAGAAGCGCTACGATTTGGGATCGAAAGGGCCTCTATTTCTGCCGTTCGACGGCAAATGGTGACTAGAACCTACAGCCGGCGTTGGTACTTCTATTCGCGCAATCTAGGTAGCGAGTTGCACTGACCGCGTTAGGATAAGAAGTTAACGTAGAATATCCCTACTCAAGCGCGTGTCAGCAGTTGGCGAAAGTGGGCGCGGGGCCAAAGAGTTACATAGGCCATAGATCCTCGGTTCTCATATTCTACCATGCTAGCAGATCATTCACAGCAGATGCTAAAGCTCTGAATGCGTAGGTGGACATATATCGCGCCCAAAGAACTTGCAGAAAAAGAAATGAGAACTTCGCCTTCTGACAGTTCGTCCAAATGCGGTGCAGAGCAATAATGGTCAGAGGCGGGTGACAGGTGAGGGGGAAGTGGGAAGGGCTGGGCCGCAGCACTTTTCCAGGGAGCTGGTGTTTCGGTCACTCACCAATCGGCAGGCTCGGTGGCGGGGCTGGGGAGAGGTTGAAGAAGCCAGCTGTCTTGGTCAGCGGCGAATCACTCGTTCCATGCCGTCCCCCTCAGCCCCTGACAGACCAGACCACACCATCCGGCTTTCAAACCACATGGCTCGGGGGTGAAGGGCTAGTCTGGGGCAGGCTGGGTAGTTGTACTTGAGGGATGAAAACAAACTGCTTCGCGCGTCGTGTTTCGGCTCCACTTAGGTTACAACTTACCAGGGCGGAACCTCCTTCGCTCCGTCAGCTGTTGCTAGCCCCCAAACGTCGCCTAGTGTTCCCGGACCGAGAGGCTAGGCCACCTGAACTAGCCGGACCTAACGTGCTTGCTTAATCTGGCCTGGCTTGGCCCCCCTGGCTAGCCCCGGGCGCTTGACTAGCTCTGCCCTGGTCGTTCGTCAATGCGGACTCGCAACATCACACGCGAAAGTAGCAGCCAATCGTGGGGCAGCTTCCCCGCCACAGGTGGAGTGCCTCTCCAGTTCGGCGTGGAGATTGGGTTTCGTGAGCCAGTTCGGCAACGCTTGCGACGGTGCTTGCTGGCAAAAATCGCGCGCGAAAGACCAGGGTGGTGTCGTCCCGGGTCAACCTGAAAAGTGCTTGACGAGCCGTGGGTTGCGGCAGCAAGACGCCAGCTGAAAAGTAGCATTATTGATTCCGAGCCGACCACCAAACCAGAAGAACAGCCTTACCGAACCTCAACTTAACATGCGGTTCGCGGACTCCATGAACAGACTCACTCACCTCATCCATAGACCATGGATCGTTTAGATCATCCACGCGACGCGCCTGTTGGTCCTCTGGCCGCGACATGCGGAAAGAATGGCTGATCCTCCCTGATAATTACGTCGCGACAAACCAATGCACCCTGAAACTTGCCCTGAAGGCTGAATTTGACATGCCTACAGAATTTGTTGAACGTGTAACAAAGCCTACTTCATGAGTTTATCAATCACATACACGAAACACAAAAATCTAGTATTCATCAACTGACCTTGAAGCAAGCT